ATTCAGTGTTCCCATGTTCTGTTCGAACAACTGCCTCTTGGTCCAGGTACAGATTCCTTGTGAGCACAATTAAGTGTTCCAGAATACTCATACTTCATAATGTTGTCCATAGCTTGGCATGATCCACACAATCAAAAGCCTTTGTGTAGTCAATAAAGCACAGGTAAACATCCTTCTGGTATTCTCTGCTTTCAGCCAAGATCCATCGGACATCAGGCCTAAGCATAGTGGTTACGAATTGGGCTGCTAACCTCAGGGTCAGCAGTTCAAAACTACCAGCTGTTCCACAGGAGAAATCTTTCTGCTCCTGTAAAGATTTACAGCCTCAGAAACCCTATACAGAGTCGCTATGAGTTGGAACTGACTCCACGGCACACAACCACCACCACCAGAGGGAGGATACACCTGTTGATCTGCTTCCAAAAGTTACACCTTTGTAAACCCTACTCAAGGAATTGACTCAACAGCAACTAACAAACACAATGGAGTCAGGGACAACATTCTTTACAAAGCTTTCTCCCTCACTGACTGTTAATTTTGAAGGATTAATATTTCTAGATATTAAAATCTATATCTGTCTGTGCCTTTAGACAAAGATGTATATAAGGACATTTTCCTCCTTTAACAAAATGGAATCACACTATACATGCTGGCCATTCGGTGATGTACTACTTATCCAAGATTCAGCTCAAAAATGTTAACTAAGCTCCTGATCCTATATATTTCCAAGGCTCTTTTTTACATGCCATTATTTAGCACTCATCAAATTACTAACATTTTTTGTTTTGTATGTCTCTAAGGCATCCATGAAGACGTACCTCTCAGATCTCCTGCAGATAACTTGCCCAGCAGTCCTGCAGCTGGAGTATGAATCTATCATTATAGACATACCAAGGCCACTTTCCTATAAGCTGCTCTCAGATGATGGCTGCATATAGCAGATGATTTTCTGTATAACAAGGGACTCCCCTGATGGGATGCTTTGACCTTATCAATGCATTCTTAGGCCTGCACTGCCATCTAAGAAAGACCCTTCCTTCCTTCCCACTCTCATTCATAAAAGCCTGCATCACTCTCTGACAGCTCTCCCAGTCTCTTCTTGCCCCTTCCCCATTTTCTTACACTGAAATTTCCCCCAGCAAATCTCTTGCATGACTAATATTCTTGGCATCTAGTTCTCACAGGACTCAAATGAACAGTGTCTCTCCTTTTAAAACGAACATTCCAGGAAGAATGGCTATACTCTAATGATGTTTTTTAGTTCATTCAGCATTTCAAAGGTTCATGCCAACTAACATGGTGAGCAATCATTTTTAATTTCCTCAACTCACCTAGTCTGGAACTTTTTGAGACTTCTTTTTGCAGGAGCCATGGCATTACAACCCACTTCAGCGGGGAAATCAAATCCAGTTTGGAAACTGGAAAACCTGCTCATGGAGACACAAATTAAATTTTTTTTTTAATGTACAGACTAAAGTAATTCAGTATTTATACATGCATAGCCTCTGGTCCTTCAGGTAACATAAAAGATACTTTCATGTATGTTGTTGCTGTTGTTGAGGGCCATCAAGTCAGTTCTGACTCACAGCGACCCTGAAAAGGGTTTTCAAGGAGCGACTGGTGCGTTTGAACCACCAACCTAGTGGTAGGCAATCCAGTGCTTATCCTTCAGCAGCACACCAGGAGTTTACTTTCATGTATAGAGGCATTAATACTGGAATCTGAGAAGGAAATAAGGGAAGGAATGACCTCAATGACATCAAAATGATGTCTTACGTTCCCAATTCAATGAAGCAAAGACCTTTCTTTGGAAGAAATGTCACAGAAAAGTACACCTTTAGGACTCATTTTTAGCATTAGCAGTCTTAGTCCCTGCATGCCAAGTAAAACAAAGTCAAAGTACTTCATATAACACTTATCTTTCAATAATTGGAGACAAAAAGATATCCAATTGATTTGTTGTTGTTAAGTACCGTGGAGTTCTTAACAGGTTCTGACTCATAAGGATCCTGCACAGGGTTTCCGAAGCTGTAAATCTTTATGGGAGCAGAAAACCTCATCTTTTTCCTGTGGAATCGCTGGTAGTTTCGAACTGCCGAACTTGAGGTTAGCAGCCCGATTCGTAACCACTACGCTACCAGAGACCCAATTGATTAGGGGCTAGGTAATGAAGAAAAGACCTATTTACCCAGAAATTCTAGGTTCCTACAGTTCTCCAGCAGCACTTCCATAAATAGCTTCTTCTGAAAAGGCTGCAGTTTCTTCCACTCGCCTCTGGAAAAGTTCACAGCCACATCCTTGAATGACACGGATTCCTAGAACACCAAAAAGATCTCCTGAACTGGATTATTTCCAAATAAACCCTAAAGAACAAAGTAGCAGTCAGGATATACAGAACAGTTTTGGTAGCATTCATTTAAAAAATAAATAAAAAAAAGAATTTCAAAGCAAGCTAAGAAGCAGCTATTATATGACAAATAATATTTTTGTTATTTTGTATTGAGCATGAATATGACACAATTCCTGCTTCTCCTATTCAGTTCCTGGTATAAAATGCTGTACAATGATTCTCTAGAATGACTAACATTGATCAAGTCCACAATGACTTCTAGAATTAAGAGAAAAATATTAAATAAAAGCTACAATTTGCATTCTCATACCCCAAATTCATAGAATTAACTGACGTGGCACTGTGGGTTAATGCTCTGGACTGCAAGGTCAGCAATTCAAGTTCACCAGCTGCTCCTATACAGGGTGGCTATGAGTCAGAACAGAATCAACTGAAAGCAGAGAATGCCAGAAAGAAGTTTATTTGTGTTTATTGATTATGCAAAGGCCTTAGACAGCGTGGACCATAACAAATTATGGATAACATTGCAAAGAATGGGTATTCTAAAACAATTAATTCTGTTCATGAGAGACTTGTACACAGACTAAGAGCCAATTACTAGAAGAGAACAAGGGGACACTGGCTTAAAATCAGAAAAGGTATGCATCAAGTTTATATCTTTACACCATACTTATTCATTCTGCAAATTGAGCAAATAATCTGAGAAGGTGGATTTTATAAAGAGGTCTGTGTCATCAAGATTGGAGGAAGACTCATTAATAACCTAAGATGTGCAGATAACACAAGCTTGCTTGCCGAAAGTGAAGAGGACTTGAAATACTTGCTGATGAAGATCAAAGACCACAGCTGTTAGAATGGATTGCACCTCAAAGCTAAGAAAACTAAAATCCTCACCACTGGATCAACAGAAAATATCATGATAAACTCAGGAAAAATAGAAGTTCTCAAGATTTCATTTTGCTTGGATCTATAATCAATGTTCATGGAAACAGAAACCAAGAAATTAAACTACATTTCACATAAGGCAAGTCTGCTGCATAATACCCCATTAAAGTGTTAAATAGCAAAACAGTCAGTTCTAGGATTAAGGTGTATCTAGATGATCCAAGCCAAGGTATTTTCAATCACCTCATATACATGTGAAAGTTAGACAATGAATAAGGAAGACTTCAGACAGAAGAATCACTGCATTTGAATTACAGTGTTAGATAAGAATATGAACTGCCGGAAATACAAACAAGTTTTGGAAGAAGTATAGTTGGAAAGCTCCTTAGAAATGGTGAGACTGTCTCTTGCACTTTGGATATATTGTCAGTAGGGATCAAACCTTGGAGAAGGACACATGTTTGGAAAAGTGGAGGGTGAGCAAAAAAGGGGTAGACCTCCAAAGAAAAGACTGACCTAGTGGCAGCAACTATGGGCTCAAATATAACAATATTTGTAAGGATGGCACAGCAATGAGCAGTGTTTCGTTTGTTATGCATAGGGTCGCTATAGGTCAGCGCCTACTTGATGGCCCCTAACAACAACCACAAATAATAATATACTGTTGTTGTTGTTGTTAAGTGTCACTGAGTCGGTTCCGACCTATAGCAACCTTGTGCAGGGTTTCCAAGGAGTGGCTGGTGAGCTTGAAGTGCAAGGTCAGCTTTGCTATCTAGCTCATTAACCCACAGCGCCACACCAGGACCCCAATATACTAGTCTAACTATGGTTGACATGGTTAGGTGCTAATCAAAAGGTTGGTGGTTCACAACCACCAACCACTCCACAGGAGAAAGAAGTCTGCTTCTAGAATGATTTACAATCTTGTAAACTCTGTGGGAGTGGTTCTACTCTGTCCTATAGATTACTTAACAGTCGGTTTGATTTGTTTTTTCTTTTTTTTTTTTTAAGTAACATCAGCAACCACACTCTAAATTTTAATTTCCAGTTAATTAAACATAGCAATTATTATTTATCAGTATCAATCAAAACCTGTGTTCAATAACACACTCACACTAGAAATTTCTCTATAATCATAAATATGCATATTGCCTCACAACATCTTTTCTATGACACCTTCTCCATAGCCTTTTATATTATACCTAGAGTGCCTACTAGCATTTGTATTAGTTTCCTGTAGCTGTTGTAACAAATTATCAATACAATTGTGGCTTAAAACATAGTTCTAGAGAACAGAAATCCAAAATCATGATGTCAGCAGAGCTGTGCTCCCTTCACAGACTCTGAAGGAAAACCTGGTGGCTGCTGGCATTCCTTGACCTCTCTCTAGCTCCAGCTCCACATGGCTTCTCTTCTGTGTGAATGTTTCTAATCTCCCACTGCCTCTCTAAGAACACCTGCAGAGGCATTTATGGACCACCTCAATGATCCAGGGTAATCTTACCTCAAAATCCTCAACTGAACCATGTTTGCAAAAACTCTCTATCTACAATAGATAACACTTAGGACATGGGCATATTTCTGGGGATCATTATCAGTCTACCTCAGCAATATTATTCATTATTGTGAATATGAATTTTTCCCCTAACTCATGATTGCTGGCATATCAAAAATTGACTGATTTACAGCCAGCTGCTTTTCTCAATTATTATGAGTTTTAGTACTTATTCGGATAGTCTCCTGAGGTTTTTCGCACACACAATATTATCTGTAGGCAATATACATTTGCTTCTTTCAAACCAATATTTGTATCTTATTTTGTTTTTATCTTTCTAGGTAATTTAATTGGCTAAAATGGTCAGAAAATACTAATGAATAGCAATCAGATGGGATACCCTTCATTTTTAGTGATACTGTGAGGACCATTTTCAATCATCCAATGTTAACCAGTCACAGATATTCTGTGTCATGTTACAGAAGTACAATTCTATTTCCATCTTCCTAATTTTATCAAGAATATTTGTTGAATTCTAGTAAACCTTTTGAAATTGGAGTAAAATTTGTGGCACATTCTAGGAAATGAAAAAACAGCATGTGAAGAATAAGGAAGAAGTTCCTTTAAAGGGAGACTGTTAGTTATTTTTGTGTCTTTACACCACTTAGTCCAAGCTCAGTAGGTATCCACTAAAGAAGGAAAACTGGTGAAAGCAAACTTACTGAAGATTCAGCATTTGGAAGAATAGCCGCCATTTTATCTTCTTCTGGGTTCTCCTCTTGGGAAATGGCAAAGTCTTGAGAGAGTGAATCTATGAAGAGGGGTAAAAAAAGGTCCAGTCTTTCAAATATGTTCTCCAAACTAGAAATCCACATATATGCTTCTTTAGAGGAAAAGCTCAGGAGAAACAAAAAAAAAGTTTTTCTCACTTTTTAAAACAGATAGCAGCCATGGATACTGTTTTCTAGAACACCTCAAGCATTCTCCCTTCCCCCATCATTTCAAAAATTCCTAAACTCACAAAAAGTGATCTTTCCTTCATTTTAAATATCCTTAGCTTTAACGTATTTAATTTTTACAATCTTAAATTTATAAAGGATTTGAAAAATCTATACATTTCCAAGATACATTAAGATAAAACAGCATATTTCTTTTATATATTTATTTATCACCTTAGGACAGTGACCCTACATAGGGTTTTCTAAGCTATAAATCTTAATGGGAGCAAAAAGACTCAACTTTCTCCCATGCAACTACAGGTAGTTTCAAACAGCTGATCTTGAGTTAGCAGCCTGACTCCTAACCACTACACTAAACTCCAAAACAGAACAGAAGAACATTCCCATCATTGCAGAAAGATTCTATTGAACATCCTGACTGTAGAAACATCCTACTGAAAACTGAGGCTGGGAGATACACTTGTGACCCCAAACAGTTTCACAGATAAAGAACTTCTTTCTCTCTTGTTCTATGGCCTCCACTTAGTCAAGAGGGAAGGGGAAAATAATCAGCTTTTCTTAAGCATCCACCATGTATTATATTTTATCATGTCAAACCTCATAACTATGGAGAAGATAGTATTCCCTTTCTATAGGTAAAAAAATTAATGTTCTGAGCGGTTACATAACTTTCCCAAGATCACACAGTTAATGGCAGGACTGATTCTAACCCAGTTACCACTCCAAAATTTTGACTTCACTCTAACAGTAAAGTGCTTTGTGTGGAGGGAGTTCCTTTCATTTCTCCCACTTCCTCTCTTACCTTCCTTTTCTTCAAGCATTTGGGTCAAATCCTCTACTAATGTCACCACATCTTCACTATTCCCGGGATGCTGTGACTTTACCCAAATCCTGACTTCCCCAGGTAAAATGGTAAGGAATTGCTCAAACACCAAAAGCTCTAATATCTGTTCTTTCGTGTGAATGTCTGGTCTCAGCCACTGAATGCAAAGCTCCCAGAGCTGATTAAGGGTTTTTCTGGGTCCAATCACTTCTGAGTAACGAAACCACCTGAATCTCTGTCTTGAAGTCTCTGGGTCAGTAGAGTCTCCTCTTATGATAGCTTTTTGAGCCCCAGGGGCATCCATTCTTAGGACCTTGTTTTGTTCACTTGAAGCCAGAGTGTGAGGTTTTGGAAAGGTGGTTGCCATCTTGTTCAAGAGCAGTTTGTTCTGTATATTATCAGCAGGAATCTGGTCCTCTACAGTCTCTAGTTGAATCCGTACAGTTCCCCAAGAGGCGCTACAATAGCAACTTATCAAGGTTCATTCAAGGGTCCCAAGAATTCAGTTTATGGTCTTTCAGAAACTGTCAAAATATACAAGGTATTAAGTAAGTGAAACAAGTTGTTGTTAGTCCTGAAAACATTTGTTTTAGTTTGTTTCAGCTATATATGTACATATACATAACCATTAGATGCCTAAAATAACCCTGCTCAACTACTACAGTGAAAGGATAATTTTCTTTGCCAGCCAAAGTCAAAGAGCTATCTGTGTTGTTGTTAAGTACCATTGAGTCAGTTCTGACTCATAGCGACTCTGTATAGGGTTTCTGAGGAGCAGCTGGTGAGCCTGAACCACCGACCTTGCGGTTCAAACTGACCATGCAGTCTAGCACTACCCCACAGTGCCACACCAGGTTTCCAAGAGCTATTTAAAGCTCGGAAACCCTGTACAGGGTCGCTATGGGTCGGAACCGACTCGACGGCACTTAACAACAACAACAAAAGTGTCCTCCAAAGAACATAATTGATGTCAATGAACTGTACATGTGAAAACTGTAGAGATGGCAAATGTTTTGTTGTCTATATACTTTTACAATAACACCATCAACAAAAAAAGTAGTGTTCTCCAAAGGAATAGCTGCTTCAGATTACATATTATGCCTCATAAATAAAAGATGTCAGAAAAAGCTTAGTAACACAAAGGGACCCAGTCATGAATAAACCTATTTGACAACTCTGTCCTCTCTTAGAGCATGACAACACATTTCCAACCAGTCACTTAACTAGGGAGTCACCCACAGACTCTTAATCCTCTCTTCCTCATTACTTCTCACATCATCATTACCCAAATTCTAGAGATTTTATTTTCCAAGTATTCCTCCATTTAATCTCTACTGGAGTTCTGGTGTGATGCTGTGCGTTAATGCGTTGGGCTGCAAAGTCAGTTTGAACCACAAGTTCAGTGGTTCAAACTCACCAGCTGCTCCTAGGAAAACCTATACAGGGTCACTATGGGTTGGAACCAACTGGAAGGCACTTAGCAACAGCGACAACAAAACAGCCTAAGAACAGGCTACCACTCACCTAGTCTCCACACTGTAGCCTAAGGATTCCTTCTAATATGCAAAAGATAGTATCATTACTCCCCTGCTTGTAACTCTTCACTGTTTCCCCAAATGTATCTAGATAAGGTTCAAATACAGAGATCATGCACGATGATCTAAAGATCCTTCCTTGATGACCTCAGTCCTCTGAGCTGTGTTGAGAGTCAATTCTAACCTTAGAGGACAGAGTAAAGCTAGCTACCCCACAGTGTTTCCAAGCTTTTAAATCTTTGCAGAAGCAATTTGCCACATCTTTCTCCCTCAGAGTGACTGGTGGGTTCAAACTACCAGCCTTCTGGTTAGCAGCTGAGTGTTTTACCCACTGAACCCATAAGGCTTCTCTTCTGAGCTCTGCTGTTGTAGTTAAGTGCTGTTGAGTTGGCTCCGACTCCTAAACCGATTGATGCTGCTGTCATGAAGAGTATCTTCCTCATTCTCAGGCACTCGATCCTTTTCCACCATTTACACCAGGGCCCTTTCCTCTCCTATCAATTTTTACTCATTCTTTAAAATGTGACTACTTTCAATTGTCACCTGTTCTGTGAAACTCCCTTTGATCTCCCTTGTGCTCCTCTGCAAGGATCATGTCACTGTGTGACATGCATTTCTTCATTCTATAAAATAGCTGAGTATCTACAATGAACTGGAAACAGGACAAGGAAGGGACAGGCATGGGCAGATCAGGCAGACTGTGCTCTACATTCTCACTGTGCTCCCAGGAAACTGCAATACAGACAGAGATGTACTAGGAATGCGGAAAGTGAGAGTGACATTCTCTGCTTATTACAATTACCCTACCAATAATTACTCATCTCCAAGCACAGAGAATACATAGCATGCATGACGTCATGTATTCCTTTTCCAATATCAAGCACCTGTCATGCACCAGGTTCTATGCAGGGTGACTATGACACTTATATCAGTCTCCAGAGAATTTACAAGAAAATATGACGCAGACATGGGCTCTCTCAACAGGGACCAATTTTGCCCCATAAGGAGTATTTGGCAATGTCTGCAGACATATTTTGGTTGTCACAACTGAGGGAAAAGGAGAGGCAGGAGGGGAAGGAGTAACCGGCATCTACTAGGGAGAGGTCAAGGATGCTGCTAAACATTCTGCAATGCGAAGGACAGGCACACCACCGCCGCCACCATCAGCGTGCGCGCGCGCGCGCACACACACACACACTTATATACACATGAAGGAATTATCAATATCAGTAGTGCCGAACTTGAAAAATCCTGGGCAGAGAGAAGGGATGGATGAAAGCCGAAGACTCCTTCATTCAGGAGTGTGCCCAGTTCCCACAGAAGCAACAGCATGCAGAGCGAGATGGATTGGTTGCTTTGTCCCCCACTCCATCCAAGGTGCGCCCTTGGAGTTGGCGGCCGGCCACGGACCCAAATCTAAGTGTCTGGGACAATACCTGTTTCAAGATCCGCAGCCAGGATCAAATCCACCGCAACCAGTTTCTAGAAACAGGTCCAGCAGGAGCTGCGCACGCAAACCCGCTGAGGCTATTGCGCCTGCGTTACATCAAGGAACTACGATTCCCGGAATGCGCTGGTCCAGCGTTCTGAAACCCCTGTGCTTTCTATAGGCTCTGACCCTAGCCTGTTGCGCATGGTCGCTGAGAAGCGGCTGGGGGCCTCAGCCGCTGAATTATTACTGCGCCAGAGGCCTACAAGTTTGGAGGCCTAGAATCCTCGCAGGTTTTCAAATTCATGAAGTTCTGTCTCCTTGATAACCTTAAACCCCTTCTCCTTTTGCAAACCCCTCCCTGAAATCTGGAAGGAAAGATCTACTGCAGAAAGCTTAGTAACATGCTCAATGCAAGCCATAATTGATGCTTGAATTAAAACATACTCTTCCACACCTGCAAACGTGTCCAAACCACCATCATCCCTCGCCTAAATTAGTGCAATAGCTTCCCGCATGCAACCCCTACCTACACTTCTATCTTCTTAACAGCCAGACTTTTAAAAAAGGTAAATCAAATTATATCCCTCCTTTGCTTAAAACTCCGCAGAGTTATCTGAAAACCCAAGTCTCCATTCGCGTGGTCCCTGAATGGTGCAGAAAGGGTTACTGCTGAGAGATGAGGTTTCAGTACACCTAGAAGTGCGTTGGAAGAAAGGTCTGACGATCTACTTCTAATAAAATGTTAAGTGCCTTGGAGTTGTTTCTGACTCATAGCAACACTGTATAGGGTTTCTGGTGAGCGGCTGGTGAGTTTGAACCTCCGACCTTGCAGTTCAAACCGCCCTTGTGGTCCAGTGCTTATCTTACAGGTCACACCAGGACTCCTCTGAAAAAATATGGGGTCAGAATTGACTATTTGGTAACTGGTGTTTGGTTCATATTGTCTGTTGTTGTTATTGAGTGCCATCTAGTCCTTTCCGACTCATAGGGACCCTGTCTAGGGTTTTCGAGGAACAGCTGGTGAGTTGGAACTGCCGACCTTGCTTTTCAAACCGACCTTGTGGTAAATTGCCTTATCCTGAAGCGGTAAATGTAATCTGGCCACCCATAGTTGATGACCTTCTCCTCTGCTCCTTATCTTCGGTTACATTGACCTCCTTACCCAACCTTCCCTTCCAACCAGCCTGGCACTGCAGTAGAGGTGATCCATTCATAGGTGGCCAGAAGGTTCACTCCCACACTGGTTCTTATGTTAATGACTCTTCTCCACTGCATTTAAATTAGAACCCCACCCCGCTCAGGATTCATGGTTTAACAGGCCATTCAACCAGTGAATGGCTAAACCTTGTCTTACTTCAATAGGATGTAATACTACACGGCAATCCAAAGGAATGAACTGCTGATACACATAACAATAGAATTGAAACTCAAATTCTTTATGTTGAGTAAGACCTCAGACTCAAACCGGTACATACACATTCGTATGATTCCAAACGGTTTATATCAACTATGGACCTAAGGAAATAACTTGAAAGGGATATAGTAAAGGTGTGGCACTGTAGGTTAATGCACTGAACTACAAAGTCGGTTTAAACCTCAAGGTCGGTGGTTCAAGCTCACAAGCCACTCCTGGGAAACCCTGTACAGGGTCTCTATGGGTCGAAACTGACTCGACGACACTTAACAAGAACATAGAAAGAAGGCAAGGTAACCACTATACAGTGGTTACATATTGTTGTTAGTGTCATCGAGTCTGTTCCAACTCAGGGTTTCTGAGGAATGGCTGTTGAGTTTGAACCACAAACCTCGCAGTTCAAACCGACTTGTGGTCCGGTGCTTATTCTACAGGTGCCACACCAGGACTCTGGGTTATGTGTGAAGGGGGCTAACTCGAAGTTTATCAGTTCGAATCCACCAGCTGCTCCTCAGAGAAAGATGAGGCTTTCTGCTCCAGTAAAAATTTACAACCTCAGAAAACCTCTATATGGTCTCTGTGAGACAAATGGACTACTGGCTGGTACACAACAGCAGAGAAAGAAGGTAATTGATAAATGGAGAAAATCAGGGAAGGCAATGTAAAAGTTTCTAAATGGAACATGGAGTGAATAGTTTAAATAAATAAGTCTAACAATAAAAAGTGTCTACTTTTTAGGTGGTTTCTTCTCAAGTTTAAGGAAAAAGTAAAAGCAAAGCTTATATGAGTATGAAAGTGGAAGGATATATGGGAACTCTGACAGGTAAGAATTTGTTCGTGCCTTTTTTTTCCCCCCGAATGGACATTGTTCTTGTTGGCTGGTTGCTATTGGTTGATTTCCAATTCAAAATGACTCATGTCACAAAGTAGAACAGTCCCATAGAGTTTTCAAACCTTTCTCCTGCCGAGCTGTTGTGTGGGTTTTA